TCACTGTGGTATGATTCTTTTAATTCTTTGGGGAAGATACCCAGGAGGGGAATAGCTGGGTCAAATGGGACTTCCAGTCCTAGTTCTTTGAAGTATCTCCATACTGATTTCCACAGTGGTTGCACCAGTCTACACTCCCACCAACAGTGGAGCAGGGTTCCTCCTTCCCCGCAGCCCCACCAGCATTTGTTATTGGTTGATTTCTGGATAGCAGCCATTCTTTCTGGAGGTGGAATCTCAGCATTGTTTGCATTTGCATCTCTCAAATGCCAGTGATGTTGAACATTTTTTCATGTGTTTATTTGCTATTTCTACTTCTTTGTCTGAGAAATGTCTATTCATTTCAGATGTCCATTTTTGGATTGGGTCTTTAAATTTGGGAGGTCTGATTTTTTTAAGTTCTTTATAGATTCGAGATAGTAGACCTAAAGATATTTTTTAAAAATGTTATGAAGCCTAGCATGGTGGAACATTCTTGTAACCCCAGAACTCAGGAGGCTGAGGAAGATTAGAGCCAGCCTGGGATACACATTCATAGCAAGTTCGAGGCCAGCCTGTACTATATAGTGAGACTTTGTCTCAAAAAACAGACAAACAGGGCTGGGGATTTAGCTCAGTGGCACCGTGCCTGTTTCACAAGTGCAAGGTCCTCAGTTCGATCCCCAGTACAGGGGATGGGGTGGGGCACAGCGGGGGCAGTGGCACAGGGGGGACAGACAGACAAAATGCTAAGACATACAGAGTCAATGACAAAACTAGAATATGAAAGGTAGATTAAAAAGGGAACATACATTAATTTACAATAGTTTTATAGGAAAATGACCTTATTCTTAGATGTATATCAATAAAGAGGGAATGAGACATCATAATGTATGAAACTTACTCTCAAATAGTTAAGAAAAAACTGAACACACAAATTATAAAACAAATCAAGTGAAATGTTGTATAGGTCAATCTGGATAAAGAGCATACAGATCTTCCTTATCTATTTCTGCAACTTCTATAAATTTGAAATTATCTCTTTTAAAGTTTTTAAAAATTATTAATTCTAGACAAAGATGACATACAAATCACCAATAAGCATATGAAAAGATATTCAATATCACTAATTACCAGAGAAATAAACCACAATAAGATATAGCTCATATTTACTAGTATGGGTACTACTATAGAAAGACAAAATAAGTGTTGAGGATATGAAGAAATTGGAACCCTTGCACACTGTTGGGAACTGTAAAATGGAGTACCCGTTAGAGGAAAAGATAGGGACATTTCTCAGAAAACCAAAAATAGAGCCACACATGGTGGTGCATGCCTGTAATACCAGCACTCAGGAGGCTGAGGCAGGAGGATCTTCATGAGTTTGAGGCCAACCTGGGCTACATATTGAACTCAAGGCCACCATGAACTATATAGTGAGAACTTGTCTCAAAATAACCAATAGGTAAATAAGTAAATAACTACCACTTTGGGTATATATTCATTGTGCATAGCAGCCTTGTTTGCAAATCGTAAGAGGAAGAAGCAACACAAATGCTCATTGATGGATGAGTGGATAAACAAAATGTGATTTACACATACAATGAAATATTATTCAGTCTTAAAAGACGAAAATCCTGTCACATGCTACAACATACATGAGCTTTTAGTGTTTATGAAGTGAAATAAGTCCATCACAAAATTATAAATAATGTAGGTTCTGTTATTGAAGATTCAAAAGTAGTCCAATTCATAGAAACAGAAAATGGGTCACTACCAGGGGCTGAGGGGAGAGGAAATGAGGAGTTGCTATTTAATGGGCAAAGTTTTAGATTTGCAAGATGAAAAAGTTCCAGAGATCTGCTTTACAACAATGTGAATATACTTAACACTATAGGAAATGCATACTTAAAAATGGTTAAGATAATGGTTAAAATGGTAAATCTTATGGTTTTTTTGTTTTTGTTTTACCACAGACAAAATTTTTATTGTGATGGTTATAGTGCAGGGGGTTGAACCCAGGGCCTTGCACATGCTAAGAAGTGCTTCACCACTAAGCTATACCCTCAGCCCAGAAAAAAACTTTTTTTAAAAAAAGTCCCTTATTACAGTGCTCGGGGCCTTTTCAGAACATAGCACCTTCTCCTTTGATCCTACTTAATAAAAGTTTTAAGTCTAGCAGGAGGATATCCCCAGGCCCACTGTTATAAAAAGGAATAGAAATGTGATTTCTAGGCCACATCTAGACAATTTATGGAGCAGATTCTGGTGACAAAGGACTACTGCTCCTTTGATTTCTGCTGACAGGCTTATCCTCCAGGCGTTGTGGGTCGAAGGAAGTGACTGTATGCCTAGTATGCCCCTAGGTTCTACACAAGATGGGTAGGTTGGTTTGACTACCTAAACCCTCAGATGGGCCACCTCTGAACTCACCTAGAAAGAACATCCAGGCAGCAGGTTCCAAATATATTGGTCTGCAGAGCAACTCTGGGTACACCAGGGGGCATCAGGCACACACTAATGTGTCATGCCCAGCCTGCCCTGTTTGCTCTCTTTAGGGTCTAGGTCTGGCTGGAAGGGCTAGGCACCCTCCTCCAGAGATGTCTTTATTTGTTCCTAAGCCATCTGAACTCTCTCAGAGTGGAGCACCTCAAACAATTCTAGAGTGTCCAGTAATTCCTGTTCCAAACTTGAGGAATAAGTTTTACTGGTATAAAGGATTGGTCACTTTTACTAGGAAAACCATGTTTTGCCCAATTAGAAGGACCATATCCTGAAGTCATCACATAACTCTTGGGCCCTTAACTTCCAAAGGGCTTTTAAAAAACCCTCAGAATTTCCAAAGAATTAGCTGATAGAAGGTCAAAACCTCACAGTACAGCTCTGCATCCTGTGGCAGCTCGGCTCCCATCGTGCAGCCGGATGTCCCAGCGATGTCACAAAAGTATGGCTGTCTAGAGCAGTCCCTGTGCTGCAAGTGCCATTGCTCTCTTCCATTCCAGTGTTGCACTGCACATCCTTTCCAATAAATACAAATCCACTTTCTGAGGTCTCAGGAAAAGTGAAGGCCAAGTGGATGAAGGGGGTGAATATGGTAATGTAGACACTACCACCTTCACTCAACTTTAGCAAATCCTAGAACCTTGACCCAGAGTGGGTTTGCTGATAGTTCTAAAGGCCTAAAGCTGTTTACCACCACTAGATCTTTTTTTTTTTTTTTTTGGTATCAGATATCGAACTCGGGACCTTGCGCTTGCGAGGCAGGCGCCGGAACCACTGAGCTAAATCCCAGGCCCTGCCACCACTAGATCTAACAGAGGGAACTAGCAGGATGGCCATGGTATGGGAAGAAATGAATCATCAGCACTTAATGGACCAAGTCTCACTTTAGTAAAGGCAAAGGATTAGGGAGAGAAGGAACATCAGAGTAAGCAGTCAGTGCCCATAGTATACAAAGCAAAAGTAGAGAGGACAGGGACACCATTTACCATGCGCTTTGAAGTGTCCATGGAGAGTGCAGCTAGACAGAAATGGAAGTGGACAGCAGAGAAGAAGCTGGGAGCTCCACTTGAAGTCTGAGTCATCCTGCAGGACCCTATTGGTAAACAGGGACTAAGTGGATGAGAAACTAATGTAGGGTTCTCTGTTACTATTCTGTGGGAGACAGGGCGGTGGGGGGGGGGGGGAATCACCATTGGCAAAGAAAAGTAACAGCTGTCTAAATTCTCTAGGATTTGATCATTTTCAGCCCCAGTCCTCAGGCTGTGAGCCAAGGATTCCTCACTTCCTCCTCCTAGTCTCTTTCCAAATTCAAGACATTCTTCTGGGGTTCAAGCATAGTGCTGGCCAGGAGCACTCAGCAGAGCACTCAGAGGTCTGATAGGATGAATAATACTCTTGTGTTCTAGGGGCAGGCCCCAGACAACAGGTTCCTCCCAGTCATGGGCATGCTCTAGGAGCCTGGAAGGCTTATGGCTGTATACTTACAGCTCTTACTTTTTTCTTTTTTTTGTAGTGGGGATCGAACTCTGGTCCTTGCGCTTGCACAGCAGGCGGCAAAACCACTGAGCTAAATTCCCAGCGATCTTACTTTTCTTTACAAACTACTGAGGAGTAAAGACTTGGATCTCTGTGATTCTGAACTCACAAACCTGCCCTGGGGCTGGGGATGTAGGTCAGGGACAGAGTGCTTGCCTAGCATGCATTGAGGTCCTGGGTTTGATTCCAGCACTACACATAAATACAGAGAGAAAAAGAGAGAGAGAGAGAGAGAGAGAGAGAGAGAGAGAGAGAGAGAGAGAGAGAGGCAGGGAGGGACAGAGACAAGAAGGAAGGAAGGGAGGGAGGGAAGTCTCCTTTTCTGCTTCCTAGCTTAAACCTTTGGAAAACATATACTCCCTCCCTGCCTCCATGTCACCTGGCTGCCACCCTAGAAAGCTCTGCCCTACCAGCAGAGCTTTGGGTACCAGCTGCCAATCCCCAGCCACAGACATTCCACCTGCCAGGCTTTCTGGCTCTTCTTCCCACAAGGCTGAATCAGCATCACTTTGGTCAGCCAGCTGCTAGGCAAATTTCCCAGTCTCCAGTCTCCATGGGAACAAGACCAGAACGCCTTGGTTTCCTCAAGATCTTGCCCCTACCCTACTCCTGCCACCCTCACTTCCAACAGAAAACTGGCTTGCTACAAGTCTATCAGCATGAAACCCTTGGCTTCCCTCCCATTCATCATTTTCCTATGTACTCTTTACTGATTTTCCTCTACAGGCAACATCTTATAACACTATAATACACTATCACAACCAGTATACTGACACTGACATACCTAAGGCACAGAATAGTTCCATCACTACAAGGAAGGAGTCCTCATGTTGTCCTTTGACAGCCACAGTCACCTCTCTGCCCCACCTCTACCCTTAGGACCTTGCACTTGCAAGACAGGCACAGCACCACTGAGCTAAATCCCTGGCCCCTGTTTTTGTTTTTTTGAGACAGGGTCTCACACTATGTAGTTCAGGCTGGCTGGGGGTACAACTCAACTTACCAGCATGCTCAAGGCCCTAGGTTTGATGCCTCTGCACTGAAAAAAGGGAAATAAAATAAAAGATTGCAATATTAAAAGCACTAGGGTGGCTTCTTAAACTTCTCATACTTACTAGGAAAACGTATCAAAATTGGGGTTTGAGGGACGCTCCCCAGATAATCCTGCTGCAAGCTCAAATGAAAGCTACTGCCCACTCTCCCTCACTATCTAGTATCAGGTATTCCTCTAATTCTCTTTTTCCTTCCAGATCTTCCAAACCTAGGAATAAAGGCTTAATACTCTCTGGAGCAGTGGGTGAGTATACCTACTGGCCCACTAGTTTCCACCGCCAAAAACTCCTATGGCTACCAAAATCAACCTCATCCAGCTTCTTTAGACTGAATCTGATCCTCTTCCTCTTCTTCCTAAACTCTGAGTTTACTCACAGATGTACATTGGGCAATAGCCCAACAGGATGCTCATCTACCCACCCAGCCCAACATGACCCAGAACACATCTGCGCTCCCTAGGCTGCTGGCCCCCAGCAGGTCCTGAAGAACTCAGTGTCATGCATACTCATCCCTTCTTGCCCTTAGTGAGCACACAGAAGGGGAGTTCCTGTTGGCCTTCCCAACTTCTGACCATCCCTGCACCCAAATAGGAGGCTGCACTTGTGGGAAAGCTCTCCAGAAAACCAGCAGTCTTTACCTCACAGTAAACAATGTCCGCTCCATAATCCAGGGCCAGCAGCCGCATTGGGAGAGTCCCGACCCGAACCATAGGGGCTAAGATGAGTTTGTTCTGGTAGCACAGAGAAAGGTTATTCAGAATCATTCCTCCTCTGCTAGATCTGAAAAAAAGAAAACACAGGTCAGACATTTAAGAGGAGAAAGTCTTTTTGTCATCCATGGCAGGTATTCCTTCCTTCCGGTCAATGGTCATTTGCTTTCCTCTTCTCTGATCATAACAAGTGTGTGTGCTCAGTCATTCATGTAACCATATCCTCTAAGGGCCTAGTCTGTGCCAGCTACTAGGGATACACTAGAAAACAAAACAGATAAAAAGAAATCCTGCTCAGCAGAGTTTTCAGTCTAGTGAGGGAACACAGGCAAGAAGACAATAAGTATAACAAATAAGTAAGCAAACTGGATGTTAGGAAAACTTTGCCTGGCTGGGCTGTAATTTTAAACAGAGGAGTCAAGGCAAGTTCAGTGATAACTCTGTGTGTGTGTGTGTGTGTGTGTGTGTGTGTGTGTGTGTGTGTGTGTGTGTGTGTGTGTGTGT